AAGGAGGGAGACGGGAGGTTGTCTGGAGAGGCTGTGGTTGTATATATATAATCCCTTGGATGGGGAAGGAACCAGGCTTATCCAGTCCTCCCTCCTGAATACAGGAATGGCAGTTTTACCACAGCAAAAATTTGCAATTGCCCACATCGTCCATTTGCCATAAAAAAAATTATGAGGAAATTTAGGATGACGTTAAAACAAAACAAAGCAAAACCCATTGGGGCAGTTTGATTAAACGAGCAAGCAACTGCTTGTTCATCAGGCAGAAGCAAACTCGGGAATATCCTGTTTCCAAAGGTGTAGCAGCATTGCCAGCCACTGCAGGTGGAATTCTGGTAGAAGAAGGGAATGTTTTTCTAATTTCTACATTAGTGAGAGGGGGGAAAATTCATGTGTGACTTTCTAGGGCTGAGCTGACGTGTCTGTTTAGATAGTGTGTGGTTCTTTTACAGCACACAGAGATTTTTGGCTAGCTGCTAGGTATTTTTCTGTTAGGATTGAACAATTGCTGACCTCTGTCCTAAGTGCTATAAAAAAAATATTAATATGCAGATGGCCCTTTGTAATATTCGACACAGTTACATAGGAGTGCATCGTCCTTTCTTCCTTACAAATCAGTCAGGTGGATTCCAGGTCTTTAACTGGTACATCAGAACGAGATGCTCCAGTAAATATGCACCAGGCAAGGGATGCATCCCATCGGTGATGATGCTGTTGAAAGCACCTTTCTTGCAAGAGCTCAAGAAATCATTTTAACCCTTCATTTAACAAAAAAAACAAAACAAAAACCACATCTCAGGCTCTGCGAGTCAAAGCTTTCAGGGTTGGGTGCTTTGTGATGTCTCCCTGTGGTCACTACTGGGAGGAATGGCCGGGTGATGGCTTGCGCCCAGTCGAAGGTTGCCACTATCCTGGTGTTTGTTTTGGTGTTGTTTTGGTGTTTTGCAGTTGTTAAAAGCCGGGCTGTGTGCCGTTGGGTGACAGCTAATGACTTCTTGTTCTACTCCAGGTAGAGCGTTAGGATGCACAAATTAATTTGCCCAGCCAAGGCAGGAGTTTAATCTCGGCAATCTAAATTTCTGGACTTAATGAGCTTGGATAAGAGCAGAAACCGTGCTGCTACTCCATGTCTACGCACTGGTGGGGATGGTGGGGACTGCTTTGATTGCTCCAAGATGTTGTTTTTCTGTCGGCAGCGAAGCCAGAGATCAGGGCAAGTGTCAGTGTTAATAAAAGATTTTCTTGAAACATTATTACAATCCATTAGTCATTCAGATTGTGGTAGCACAACACGCTGGATGGAATACCAGTTGCCATTTCAGTACCAGCTAAATTAAATGCGCGTTGTCTTCTGGGAAATAGTTAACTTTGTTCCAGATATGTGACATTTCAGAGAGGTTAGTATCTCTAGTTAGAGACACTTCTTGGTGCCTTTTTTGAAGAAAACAGGCTTCCAGAAAATGCTTAAATCTCTCTTAAACATCTTTCTAATTAGGGAGATTTGTTGCTGTTAAAATAATGAAGTATGTATTTTTTAGAGCTTCTTATTGGAAACCAGTTGGGGTTTATTTGTTTGTCTAAGTGTATCTGTACTGTATGGACATAGATATCCAGAGTTGGCAACAAGAGCTTTCATTGAATTAACTTCTAAATCCAAAAGTGTTTAGGGGACTGGAGCATCTCCTTTATGAGGAGAGGCTGAGGGACTTGGGGCTTTTTAGTCTGGAGAAGAGAAGGCTGAGGGGGGATCTGATCAACGCTTGTAAATACTTAAAGGGAGGGTGTCAAGAGGATGGGGCTGGTCTTTTTTCAGTGATGCCCAGGGACAGGACAAGAGGAAATGGGCACAAACTTGAATAGAAGAAGTTCCACCTCAACATGAGGAGGAACTTCTTTGCTGTGAGGGTGGCAGAGCCCTGGAAGAGACTGCCCAGGGAGGTGGTGGAGGCTCCTTCTCTGGAGACATTCAAACCCCCCTGGACACGTTCCTGTGGGACCTGCTCTGGGTGCCCTGCTTTGGGAGGAGGGTTGGACTAGATGATCTCCAGAAGTCCCTTCCAACCCCATGGGATTCTGTGAAGTGAAGCCAGATCGGACAGGGTGAATATTCTGGGATATAAGTCAAAAACAAGCCAGGCAAGTAATGGCTTCCAGTGGCTGTGAAGGCCATGTTGATAAGTAACAAAAATGTGTAGATAGTGTGTAATTTTGAAGGCAGGCAGGGTAGGATGGCTAAGCTGGGCCCTGATCTTTGCACACCCATCAGTCACCCTGTGGAGGCCACGCTTGGTGCTGCCCAAACCCTGCTGATGGTGATGTTCTTGAATCCCCAAAGACAGCAGAGGACTGGGAAGGAGCAGGCTGAAGCCTAATCGATGCTAAAGGACACACTTGGATGTATCAGGACCTCAGCGTCACTGGGGAAAAAAGTCCATTTGTTTAAAGAGAAGGAAAAGGCATGACACTTAACACATTAAAATGGATTATTTCATCAATAGGTTAATAGAAAACCAGGCTGCGAGTTCACTTCCTGCTCATACGGCCGTACTCTAACATGCCATTAAAGTGTGAAAAATGAAAAGGGACTGGGAAAGGGTCTTTATGTACTGGAGACAGTCTTCCCTTGCTGAGCGTTGCCAAACCTCGATTTTGCCTATTTATATGTAAATTTTTTTTCAGGAGAAACAAGTTTTCTGCTGGGAAATGGTGCCTGTGTAGTTTGCTGGTACCTGTTAAACATGCGGTAAAACTGGAGATTTTTTAATATTGAAGGATGCACACAAGATATTTTTAGATTTGATGAACTGTAGTTTTTAGATAGATCTAACTTAGCCTTCCAGACGATGTTACCTATTTTAATTTCGGTGAGATGCGTTCTTAAGGATGTCACTCAGACATCCAGTCCTGTGTTTTCCCTTTGAGTATATAGTATTAAAGCCTGTGGATGACTTTATTAAAACAGTATATAGCTTAACAGTCTGGGTTGTTTAGGCATTTCTCTTCCAGCCTTAGCTCTTTAGCTGAAAACGGAGCTTTTTGTTAAAGACTGGAATGATTTTATGTCACTGTTCCTTTTCTGCGGAGGCTGCCTCTTTGGACTGAGTTTTGTGAGGCATTAAAGAAGTTCTCTTGTAAATATAGAAAGAAAATTTTTAAATTATTGTATTGCAGTACTGGCTGTGGTTTTGCAATGTTCAGGTCATCCTGAAGGGTAAGGAGGACCTGTGGTGAGAGGGAGAATGGTCTTACTCCGGATTTCCCACATGAGTTTCTTCATAAGAAACTGAACATTAGTCTGAACATTTTAGGAAGGAATTTTTCCCAGAAAGAGTGGTCAGACACTGGAACAGGCTGCCCAGGGAGGTGGTGGAGTCACCATCCCTGGATGTGTTTAAGGGATGTTTAGATGCGGTGCTGAGGGATATGGTGTAGGGGATGACTCTGTAGAGTAGCGTAGATAGTTGGACTCGATGATCCCAAGGGTCTCTTCCAACCTGAATGATTCTATGATAAGGGACTCTAAGCTGAATGGGAGTGGAAGACTGCTGGGTTTTCGAACACATCTTAGAAATTAATCATAATTAATGTAACTGATATTATCCTTTTTAGAAGTCTCACACCCAAACGGAAGGCTCTCCACTGTCTGTGGTCAAGCGGGCTGGGCCACCTGCTGAGAAAGGCACCTCAGAAGGTGCCTCTGGATCCTCTTCCACTTGTCATTGACCCCAGTGATCTCTTCCTTGAGCCTATAAAACAGATTTTACGCAGTAGTTGCACACCAGGCAGTGCTGCCTCATTATTTCTTGACTAGGTCAGCTGATACAGTGGATGGAAAGCCCATAGAGATACCACTCTTATCAGCTGTGCCTTTTCCTACTCGGATTTGGGATGTCCATGGGTGAAGAAGAGGGGACATCTCTGTTTTTTCAGTGTAAGTCACTGTTAGGTGCCAGCAGTGTCACGGTGTGCTCAGATGTTCCTGTCTGGTGGAACTCAGGCTAAACATTTGGTTGATTGAACCTACTTCTCACACTGCGAATTCACTCTTGAGGCAAAACGGGTCGATTTTAAACAACAGGAAAATATCCTCTCTCCTAATGAGCACAGGAATGGAGTTCTTTTCAGCAGTACTTTCTGCTAATTGTGAAACGGCGGCTGGGAGCTCAGAATCTTGACGTTTGGTGCAATTCTAATAAAGCAAGGGTGTTGCCTCTTGTATAAAAAAAAAAAAATAGATATATTATTTATTTATTTATTTACTTTCCAAATAAACACTTTGATTTTGCAGTGATTTGCCTGGGGGAGGAGGGGAGGACCACAAACATCATTTGCATCAATGTCTACTTGACACGCTTCGAAATAATTATCTAATGCCTCTGAGCTCAGTGCTACAAATAACAAACTTTGTTGTTGTGAGGATTTCAGGCCTTTACATCATCTTTACTTCAACTTTTAAAAGATGATGATGATGTGAAAAGATGTTTTAAAGGTGTTCTAAAGGTGAGCTCCAGGCACCAAGTGATCGATACGGGCTTCTGGAGGAAAAGGAGCTCTTCTCTGGCTGTGTTTTGTTATTAATTAAATCACGTTTTACAGTAGCTGTTTTGTCTAGTCGTGTGTCCTCTGTACAAATACTTCCTTACTTCTACTGGTCTGGTTTTGTCTTTTCCAATAGCAGATCCATTTAATCTTGTCAAATCGTGTCATGTTGTGGAGACTTACAAAAAAATCCCTCTCCATGAGAGGCTTTCCCTATCATCTGTGGATTGGAGAGGCTGTGGAGTCTGGTGTGCATTTTCTGTGTGTGTAGCTTTTCACGTGTTAACAGGCTCGTGCTTGTATTTTTACTTCACATGCTTATTTTGATGTTTCTTTTCTCCCCTTTTTCATTGATTTTTTTTTTTTTTTTCCCTAAACCCCCCCACCCCCCCTCTCCTTTTTCTTTATTTTTATTCTATTCTCTGTTTTTTTCTCTTTCCCCTTCTGCTTTCTGGACGCAGCCAAACGCAAAGCTTGGAAACTAAACCGTGTTGGTAGCCTGCGAAATATATACAGCAGCAGCAGCACCAACACCGAAGGTAACAAACCCAAACCCACCCATTTTAGATGAACACCTCCTTTCTTACCCCTCTTTTTTTTTTTTTTTTTTCTTTTTAACCTGCTTTTCCAAAAATTGTCCTCCTCCTCGAGTCTCTCCTTTACCCAGCGTGGGCACAGAAATCAAATTTGCCCAAAGCATGCGTGCTTTCATCTCGTGTTTGCGGAGTCATTCCGGTTGGTCTTTTCATCTTTTTTGTTTGTGTGTTTTATTTTGCCATTCATGTTCCTTTCAGCTTACTTAAATTTTGACCTTTCCCTCTAGTCGTGGATTGGTGATGTTTAAATTACTTCAGGAACCCATTTTCTTCTTTTATTTATTTTTTTTTTCTATATATATATATATATATTTCCCTTTCTACATGTGGGCACTCAATGTAATATTTCCCAAGTTATTACAGTTTTTAAAAGTGTTAGTATCAGGTGTAATGATCTGTAGCCAAATACAATCGTGTGCCGTGACATTTAAGTAACAGTCTTAATTTGTTTTGTGCAAGCCTTCTCCATAATGCTCTTTGCAGCTCTAATCCAAAGGCGAGACAGTGCCGGGTCATTTGCATGTGCTACTCTTGCTTGTAAATTCTGTATATTGTTGTATTTCTAAAGGTCACCTGGTGCCAAAGTTCACAAATTGACTTACATTGCTTTTTTTCCACCGAAGACAGCCGTCATGCCTTTTGTATAATAGCACATTGAATTTTATATATATATATTTTTCCCCCCCCACCCTCCACCTTCATTTGAACAACACAATTATAAACTTCCTTCTTTTTTTTTCTTTTTTTCTTTTTTTTTTTTTTTATTATTACAAATGTCAAAGGTCAGAATTACTCGGAAGCCAAGCAAGGAGAGAATAAAAAAACACCTCCACCACTATCTCCAGCAGCGTGTAAGAGGGCTGGTGGAAGAAATAGGGAATGCAAATAGGTCACAACTCAGTAATCTGGGTATAAAGGAGGGGGGATTTTTTTTTTTTTTTCCTTTCTTCACTTAAGTGCGAACCAAATGGGTCAAGTAATCGCAAGCGCATGCCCTAACACTAATTGACTTATTTTGGAATGATTATAACTGTAATATTTTTCTTAATGTCACTGTTTTCTGGGCTGTTGATTTTAGTGATTGCCAAGCGGTGGCATTAAATCTCTTGTAAATTTTAAATTGCATGCTATTTCTGTAAACAAGTCCCTCTGTTCACATCCTGATCATTAACCTTTGGTGATTTATATCACCGTCCTTTTTTTTTTCTTTTTTTTGCACAATTACTGCTATATTGCTGTCGGATGCCTTGCTCTCGCTGCCAAACAAAGTGTATGTAGGAAACAAAAGTGTGATTTTACCATTTTACCGCAGCTTGTTAAGGAAGCTTTTTTTAATTACCATTTAATTTTATTTCTCAGTGTAAATGTAAAATTATTACCTTTCAGAGTAAGAGTTGCAAAACTGTATATTTCGATCCTGTTGTCGTCGTATGAAGTGTGAAATATGAAATGAGAAGAAATGATTGTTGGACATGAATAAGCTCGGGTTTATTTTTTTCAATTTAATTGGCAACTAACTAGATGCTTCTTAATTATTTGTAATTTTGTATGTATTTGCTGTTTTTCATTTCGCAGCCAGATTTTTCTTCTAATCACTCTGCAGGCATGTTTGCTTTTACAGGTTGACTGCTTGAGCATCTTGTGATTTCGTATCTACCTGTTATTAAATTGTAAGAGGGAAACAAGTATAAATTACAGATAAAGACTTAATTTCTTAGGGCTTCTCTAAGTTGAGGAATCTTTTACGTTACTGATCAGACTAAATATCAAAGGCACCTTGGATAAGCATATGGGATCATGTTCCTGATGGCCATGGTCCAAGGAGTTTTGAGATGTACCACCAGAATGAAATTCTGAAATCAGGCAAATATATTTTTTTTTACAAGTATCCCCACTAAAAACTGAACATTCCATGTTCTCCCTAACTTTGCCTCTCTGAGCTGGTACCTTAAGCCTTTGTGTGAAAGCTGGAGTGGTGAGACATGCAAATGTCGAGTTAATGAGGATTGTAAGTATTAAAAGCCGCGTGTTTAGATAATTACCCCTTCAAAGAGGAGAACGGTGATAGGAAATGACAGTCCAGAATAACAAAGCTGCTTTCGTCTTCAGCTCACACTTGCTCAATTGCACTTATGCCTTTTTACAGACCAAAAATATTCCCATCGTGTACAGTCCAATTTTTGAAGACTTAATCTAGAAAGCAGCCTTCCTGATAATTTTTTTAATTCTGGTCCTATTATTTATTTCTATTTAGCAAAATCCAATTAAGATTGAGAAACCTACAGCTCAGGTGCTGCAAGTCTTTTGTAGATGCTTGGCAGAAGCAGGTATATGGATGGTCCTCCTCATGGTGGATCTCCTGGGCTTCCACGGAGTCACCTTTTGCTGGTCATCGCGCAAAGCTGAGAGTCCTCCCTGAGTGTGGCTCCTCTCTCTTGGCTATTTGACAGCAAAAATAGCACGTTGCTGACGTGTCTGTCCTGATCACAAAGGAGTGAGGAAGGAAGGGCAGGATCTTCACGGAGGTGGCTGGGTGTAAGATCACCACCAAAGAGCTTCTGAGGGCAGAGAGAGGCAGGATGTTGTACAGTTACGTCCGCTGCCATCCCTTCATCAGTTTTGTATGATTGCACAAAATTGTACTCTCTTTAATTCTAGAGGTTGCCTAAAACTTAGTTTTCAAATTTTATGGGGTTATTTTTTCAATAGGGAGCCACTGACATGGAAAAGTCCCACCTGCTCCTTGTTGCAGGTGGCTTTAAGCAATCCTTTGGTTTTCCAGGGGGAAAGTACATAATATCAGTTTGTTATACACAAAACAGACCTCACTCTGGTTTTAAGACCAGCTGGAATCACTTTTGCCTGCTATCATAGCATTCTTTTTAAAATACAGATTTATTTTTCCTACACCAACACATTTTGCAGCACAGCAGAAAGGAGCATCTTTATGAAATTAACTGACTCTGCTCTGCACGCGATGGTTTATCGGGCATAAATAAATGAAATCCTCCTTTTCCCACCCTTCAGGGTTACGTATGCGAGGTGTTAACTCCGTGCTGTGTCTGAGTTGCCAGGTTTTCGTGGAAAACTTTTATTCTGCACGTTTGTTGAAGTGGTTTCTGCCAATGCAGAAAGTTGGGTTTGATGGAGAAGGGGAGGCTATTCAGGGTACCCAAGATAATCTCAGCTTCACAACTCCTCTCAGTTAAGCAAGCTCTTCAACTTGGAAACACATCTAATTGAAAAAGTAGGCTTGAGAAGGGTTAGGAAACACCAAATGCAAGTATAGGTTCATGTGTTGTATGGACGGAGTGTGAAAATGGCTTGGTGGAGTTCTTCAAACCGTGGTTGTCTTGACATCCAAACAAAACAACAAGTAGACATGGCAGGGGGAGCGTAGTCCCTTGAGCTAGAAACCAGCCTTTCATCACCAGTTTGTCACTCACGGGCAGCAATATAAAACATTACCACTGAAAAATTCTTCCAGTGGAACACAACCTTTATCAAGAGCTGTGGGCAACCGATAGCAGAGCTATATTGTCCTGATAGGGTTGATTTGGAAAACTAATTAGATTTAGACACTGGGTTTGGAAAGGGGAGAGAAGTATTAGCATAGCCATGCCCAGTGGGACATGGCACAAATATTTCCTTAATTGAGGCTGCTAATAAACATACTTATCTTCCAACTTACAGAGATAATTTACACGGAATGGCAAAAAGGTAACGAGAGTTAACGTTGTATAGTACGTAAATAACACGCGTCTGTTGTAAACAAATTGTGTGTTGTAAACATCTAACCTTGATTGCTAGGGCACCTCGGCAGTTCTTCATTCTCATCCTTTTGACAAGATGAAGGGTTATTAAGGAATAAGTGCTCGAGCAGAAGCGATTTGTGAGAGAGGGAGGAGGGCGTGATGAAAAGGGAGTTTAAATAGGTCTCGGTGTTACTTGAGGCAGGCTTGACTGGGTTTCAAGCTGTAACCTCAACTGTTGAAGGTGCTTTATGGGTGTTGGAAATACATCATTGAGAATCTTTTTGGTTCTGCACTTGACTTCTTCTTTCTGGAAAGCGTTTCCCACATGAGTGGCATCATCCACCATTAATAGTGAATGACTATTAATTAGCAGCCGCGCCGGGATGCTGTGATGAGGACTGTGTTGGCCAAAGATGCGAATGCACAATCTGGTTCGGTCCAGTTTTAACTTCTCCTTCTGGTAAAATACTCATTTATGCGTACAAGCAGTGCCTTGAGCCTGGCACGTCTTTGTTTTATAACCCTGGCAAAATAGACTTTGGTTTTGTTTAAAAGCAAACTTTTGGGATGGGTGTAATTTCTGACTATGAGTGGAGAAAGACCCCCCCTGTCTTCTGTTGACTTCAAAATGTGCTCTTGGTTACTCACCACTGGTGGAGGTGTCGGTGGCTATCCATGCAATTCTTAATATGGAGAATAAAACAGGTGGGAGGTGGAAATTTTGAGCAAACTGATATACACACACCATTTAGAACCTCTCTTACAGGGGACCAAGAGGCATAACTGCTTCTGGACATGCGTTTTCCCTACATTTTAGTAGACTTCATTGAGTTCTCTGAAACAAGATGAGACAAATCGTATCCTGTAGTTATTTTCAGTGTAGTTCTCTAAATCTGATCTCTGTTACGTACCACAAACACAGGGTATGGGACTGCAGTGAGATCGTGCCCAAACGTTTGTTTTCCCTCACACAATCCTTTGCTTCTAAGAAATTGTATGTCTTGTTTTCCGTAAGTTTTTTTTTTAGGGTGGGTTGTAGCAACGTCTGCCTTTTGGCAGAGCAAAATAAAGGTTAAATTGGATTAAATGCACGGATTTTACTGCAAAAAGATAATGGTGAAAAGAGTATATGCAGCATAAACAGCGACACCGTGTAGCTTCTTGAAAGTGGTGTGGTGGTTTTCCTAAAAATTAGTTATGCTTTAGGTTCCTTATCATCGGGATCTCGTAATTTCAGCTTATTTCCCATCCTAGCCACCCCCTTCCCAATAAGAGACAAATCGTATCCTGTAGTTATTTTCAGTGTAGTTCTCTAAATCTGATCTCTGTTACGTACCACAAACACAGGGTATGGGACTGCAGTGAGATCGTGCCCAAATGTTTGTTTTCCCTCACACAATCCTTTGCTTCTAAGAAATTGTATGTCTTGTTTTCTGTAAGTTTTTTTTTAGGGTGGGTTGTAGCAACGTCTGCCTTTTGGCAGAGCAAAATAAAGGTTAACTTGGATTAAATGCACGGATTTTACTGCGAAAAGATAATGGTGAAAATAGTATATGCAGCATAAACAGTGACACCGTGTAGCTTCTTGGAAGTGGTGTGGTGGTTTTCCTAAAAATTAGTTATGCTTTAGGTTCCTTATCATCGGGATCTCGTAATTTCAGCTTATTTCCCATCCTAGCCACCCCCTTCCCACTTTAAAAAAAAAAAACAAAAAACGACAAAACACCAAAAACCAAACCCAAAACCAACAACAACATTGTAGACATCTCCTGTTAATAATAACTTCCAAATGGATAACAGTTGCAGCTGGTTCTTCGCACTTTAACCCTTTGTCTGCTGGCCTTCCAGGAAATAATTGATGACTGATTGGCCCATTAAACCTTTTTTTTTTTTTTAAAAAAAAAAAAAAAAAAGTTTGACAGCCTGGACTTGTGTAATGAGGAGGGATTCATAGTGAAATCAGGTTGATGGCCGGGTTGCTTACCCCTGAGGATGCAAAATTAGCCCCGCAGGACCTCGTCTGCATAGAAACTGGACACAATTAGTGTAATATCCGGTGTTATTAATGTAGTTTGGAGTAATTGGGCAGGTTGATTTCGACAGGTTGATGGTGCTAAAATACTATTATAGTGGACCTTTCTGTGAATAACTGTTAAACACGGAAAACTGTTTAATAAAATTTTGTGATTAGGCTCACAGGGATTTAAACAGCACAACCTATAATTTTTCTGAGGAGTAGAAGCGAGCAATTTCCTTCTGCTGCCTGGATTTTCCCCTTCTTGCGTGTGGTGAGGAAGGATGTGGACGTTCACTGCTCTTCTTTTGTAGGCATTACCCTGTGGGTGATGTGGTGGAGCAGATGCTGCTGTGTTGTTTCACAATTGTGTTTACAAAAAAAAAAAAAAGAAGAAGAAAGAAATTGGTGTATTTAAGCAGAAAATGTATTATTGAACCCATCTTCAGCTGGAGCTGTTGCTTTTCATCTGAGGTTTTTTTTAGGGAGTAAACGTGAAGTTTTATTGGATTTAAGAGAGAGTGAACTTGTACGTTCTTAATGAACAAGTTTTTGGCTAAATTACTGATGAACTGAAAATTATCCTTCCAACCTTAAAATGCACTGCAGCTCTTGTAACCTGTGGAGGGGCCATACCAGGACAGACTCACGGGTACGTTATGTGGACTTTGCAATCCCAAGCCACAAAAGGCAAAGGGTCTTGACAGCTTTTGTCCTGGTGTCAGCAGAAAAGGTCAGGAGATGAAACACGGGAGCATCTCCTTTGGGAAAAGGAGACTTGGCTCATAAAAGAGCGACCACGGGGAAGGGCTGGAGGTGTTTCCTGAATTGTACTCCACAGTCACCAGAATCAGCCAGGTTTGTGTCCTCTGCCATAGGTCTCCCGTAAGCAGGGGAATAACTTTGTGTAGTTTTCCTGAAAAACAAAGCTTGCAGAGGTACCACTGCAAGGACAAGATTTCGGCTTCAATTTTAAAGGGTAGGCTGACTGAATTTGCAGGGTTTTTCTCACGAGCCCTTCTTGGGCAAACCAGCTTCATGTGTATGGTAAGGATTAATGGCAGATAGGAAATAGGAGGATTTAATGATGCTGCATCTGGATTGTATGTATTTCTTTCAAGGTCTGGAATTGTAATTCTGGAAAATCGCCTAGTGCTTTAATGAGGGGATGAACTGGTTCAGGATTAGCACGGACAGACTCTAAAGTTATATACTTGTGGAGTAGTAGTTAAATCCCACATATACTTGTTGAGTCGTTAGGCATTGAGAAGTCAGCCCTGCCGTGTCGCTGGAGAAGTCACAGAATCACAGAATCACATGGGGTTGGAAGGGACCTCTGGAAATCATCTCGTCCAACCCCCTGCCAAAGCAGGGCCACCCAGAGCAGGTCCCACAGGAACGTGTCTCCAGGGGGGGTTTGAATGTCTCCAGGGAAGGAGACTCCACCACCTCCCTGGGCAGCCTCTGCCAGGGCTCTGCCACCCTCACAGGAAAGAGGTTCCTCCTCATGTTGAGGTGGAACTTCTTCTCTTCAAGTTTGTGCCCATTTCCTCTTGTCCTGTCCCTGGGCACCACTGAAAAAAGACTGGCCCCATCCTCTTGACACCCTCCCTTGAAGTATTTATCAGCATTGATCAGATCCCCCCTCAGTCTCCTCTTCGCCAGACTCAAAAGACCCAACTCCTTCAGCCTCTTCTTGTAAGAGAGATGTCTTCTTTCTCCTTGTGCTCTTCTGTGTCTTTGCATCCCTACAAGGCCTCCTCCCTGCTTGGGAAGGAGATGTGGGGAATTTTTAACTTGAGGTGGCAAAATTACTTTTTTTCTCTGGTAGGCAACTTCTTTAGCTCATACCAAGCCTTTGTCTTCTGTAGAGGCGATACGGTGTATGGTCAGGGGAGAGAGATGTGGGGAAAACAGGACGCAGCCTGGAGCAGAGCAGCGAGTGGAGAAGGAGAAGGGCTGAGGGAGAAGGTCATGGAGTGTAGAAAATGGAGTGAGGTACCACCCACCCTGAGCAATTTATGTGGAAGGATTTTCTGAACATTTAATGACCAGCATCTCCTTTAGTAAGACCTCAAGAGTACAAAGTTTTCTCTCTTAGTAGCCATCTAAAAGCCTAAGGACAATTAATTTCCTAAATTGGACTCTACTGGGGGCTGCTTCAGGTGGGATTCAGTTTTTCATGTTCTCATTCTTTGCCATCGTTCCCTGTTTTCATCAAAATATGCATAACTGCATGTGCCTGTCCCCTCCCCAGTGACCATGTGCCGGACCACTTCTGCCTAAGTAGAAGACCATCATTGTGTTGTCCTACAGGAGACAGCCCGCAGGACTGAGCATAATCTCCTTTATCATTGAGTAGTTCCTATTAATTCTTCCTCAAACTCTTGAAAGTTTGATCAACGCTGCTCTTTCTGGGATTTAATCATAGCATTTTGGATAATGAGTCTACCTGTTTGTTTTTAACGCAGTGTTGCTGAAGTGAAAAGTAGTTATAGCTGTACCTTTCTCTTATCTTCCTTTATCATCCTTTCTCTTATCTTTCTTCTCCCACGTGTCCCACACGCTGGTTTTTTTTAGTAAAAAGCTTCATGCGGCTTGTGCACCTGGAAATAACCTTCACCTCCATGTTTATTCTCACCTCAAGGTGCAGAGTAACCTTCTGCTATTTTTCGAGACATCATTAAAGCAGCATAAGCGCTGGCCTTGCGAGCGTGGGCTTCATCAAAGGAAACCAGTTGTCCCACAAATGACTTCCAGTGAGCAGCAGGACTGTCTTTAAAGCTAGTGCTAGATTTGTCACTTATCTGTGCATGCTTATGGATGACAAGGTAAGGCAGGATCTGCGTGGCTCTGAATATATAGTGAGTCATTAGCAGGGGAGCGAATGTAAATTCTGTTTCTAAAGCCCATTACGGCTGATGTTCACCAGAACTTGGTGCTCCATTATCCTCTTCCTTTCATGCTTCCTGCCTGCCCTTCCCAATTCCAGTCGCTCTGTTTCAGCTGCCCTGATGTGGGTGGGGTTTTTTGGGGTTTTTTGTTGTTTTTTTTTTAATTTGACCTTGTTGTCCCATGTGTAGTTAGAGCATGTGTCCATTTAGTTCAGTTCTGCTGGCATTTTCATACGCTGCGCTCCTCTGGCCTGAATACTTGTCTTTATGCTCTAGTAGCCCTTAGGATATTTCGTTGACCCTTTCTGCTAGCTTCTCAGATCATTTTCTCATCTCCCGGGTCAAACATGAATATTGAATAGGTTGAACTGATTTTTTAATCCTGTATTATAGCTAGCTTCTCAGATCATTTTCTCATCTCCCAGGTCAAAGATGAATATTGAATAGGTTGAACTGATTTTAATCCTGTATTATGACCCAGTGTATCCATGTTGTAGCCAAGAAAATATACGCGTCCACTTTTTAATATATCTGTGCATGTAAACAACTGCTTGAAGGAAGAGGGTAAATTGTCAGGTTTTTTCTGTTCTGTCAGCTTTTTATAGTCTGTTCATCTTTTAAGTTATTTTGCTACACACTTTGATTTTTATGTTATGTAGCTCTTAGCACCTCAGGTTTAAGTTTAAGTGATGCTTGTTATCCACTTTGCGTTCGAGAAAGGTACAGACTCAATCCCAAAATCACAGATGCACACAGGAACTGAATATTTACCCCAAACAGTAATTTAACTGTGTAACATTTGGAGAGAAAAAGCACTGGATCCATTTTCTGATGCGTTGTGCAACGGCAGGATATACCTAACCTCAAACCTCCAATGTCCAGACCTGTGTTTGATTTTTACAATTGCAGAAATGCTCGTTTAACAAGATTGTTTGAGCCTAGCTATCGATATCCTTAAACTTAAAACTTCTTCCTATTGCATGTTTGTTGGGTTTTTTTCACAGAACAAGAAGAAAACTTTGAGTTTATCATCGTCTCTCTCACTGGCCAGACTTGGCACTTTGAAGCTACCACCTACGAAGAAAGAGATGCGTGGGTCCAAGCCATAGAGAGTCAGATCTTGGCCAGTTTACAGTCGTGTGAGAGCAGCAAGAACAAGGTATTGTGCCTGGGGTAATACTAAAATAAGCAATGGGGGGATGCTCGTTAAGATGAAAGCAAAATTAAGAACTCTGGATTTCAAAACTGTGCTCCTAGAGCCAACGCGTGCGTTACGCACCCAACAGAGCTGCATAAATAACAGATATTTCAAGACAGCTGATGCCGTTGCCTATTTTACAGCTTATTTTTTACAGCTATTGGATTAAGGGAGCTCCTGGAACTCCTGTTTTTGCCTTCGGTATCGCTCTTAAAATTTTGACTGAAACTTAGGGCTGGGTCATGGACTCTCTCTACTGAGAGACATGAGTCACTGCTGCTGATTCAAGCTTGTTCCAGGTTAGAGGTCTGCAGAAAGCCCTTGAGGAAGAGCTTGTCTTGGAGAAGAGTGGAAACAGACCCAAAAATATATAGGAGGCAGTATATTTCCTAGACAAATCTCTAGTTAAACCAACTAAGCTCCTGCATGGCAAAATTTAACTAAATGTTGAGGTTGGACTAACTGTAATTGTGCAGTAGCATTCAGCCGTAGGGTTCTGCCATGATGAAGTAATACAAATCACAGAACTCAAAATCAGGCTATTGCTTTTGTGTCTGCTTTACAAAGCATATGCACAACTTTTCTTTAATTAGGCTGAATTATTTTTTTATGGTTTTCTGCCTTAACTAATATAACAGAAAGCAAATCCAGAAACAGTTCATCAGAGCTTTTTGGGGGGAAGATGAACGTTGTCTAAGAGGTGCAAGCTTTCTACGACGACAGAAGGAATTTGTTCTCCCTTCCTGTCAAAAGAAATAAGTAAATAAATAAAGAAGTGATTAAAATCTGAGACTTCTTCAGCCATTGCTCATTTTGGGAAGGGCAGGAGAACTTCTGCTTCTTGAGTCTCTGTGTTTGCAGACACCTCACAACTAGAGAGCAAAGTGTTGAGTGGTAGTGGAGGGAGTGAAGTGAGGGGTAATTATTCAGACCTTTAGATCCTTTAACATTTGCCACCTAACAGATGTCTTTAATGATTTTATATTGCAAGGAGGAGACTTGTATTTTGAAATGAATGCTTGGTTTCATTGCCCTGATTTACCAGAGTAGATCAGACACCAGTAATTATCATCATCATAATATAATTTACTTCCCATCTTGTTTAAAAAATGTATTTACTTCCTATATGCATTTCTGAGATAGAGGGGAAAAATGACTCCTTGTATGGCTTTTTTTGGCTTTCATGGATTTACACATTGGACTATGTGTGCTAAGGGAGTGCAATAGAGGAAATTTGTACACTAGCTAATACAAAAGAGGATAAAGAGTGGCTGGTAATATTTACTATCCAGTACCCACAGAGAACATTTGCCTTTGTGTGTATTAAATATTCTTTTAAAGGGAGAGTCTGTTTATAAGATTATGCGTGTACAGGGAGCTTTTTGGGTTTTACATTCAACCTACTATAGTGCTCCAAGAGTTGTTTTTTTTTCTCTGAAGTACTACTGAGGTCTCTAAACATGTCAGAAGAAGTAGCTGGAATAGCAAAGTGTGGTTAGTTCGACAGGTTTAGTAGATGTCCTCTCGATCAATTAAGAAGATCTCCTCACGGTCATACTTAAGACCAGGTCCTCATCCTGCTTAAATCAGTTCATTGCAAAGAGTCCCTTATTTGATACAACTAACAATTTTCTTCTCAGAAAGCCCACAAGATGGTTTAGTTGGGTAGAGCTGAACGACTTGTACATCATGACAGTCTCTCCAGGTCCAAGTAGAGGTCATTGGCAGGTCACCGTGGAGAGCCGTCTGATTAAATCTGACCTTTTGATGATAAAAAGGTTTCAGTTGCTTTTGCAAACCACCCCTTAGTCTTCATTAGCAAAAGCATAAACATCAATAAAAGACATTGATTTTATAAAAGAATATTCTTATCTAATTTATCTTAAGAAGGGAACCTGCACGGTGACCGCTTCATTGTGAATAGCAGGGTCCATTTTGAAGCTCGGTTTTCCTCTGTGCAGTCTCCCCACTTTTTAGAATCCAGACTGGTGACCCCAAAACACTGGGACTTCCTGGGCAGGGTAGAGAGGACCCTGGGAGAAATCCTGAGCTGTCAGAAAGAGGAGTCCCTGCTTTCCAGGCATGGACTTACAGTACGTGAAGACACCAAAGGACCACCATTTCTTGAGAGGCAAACCAAGGACTTGGGTTCCTTGATCAGGTTCATTCAACCTTGGTCTAAGCTTTGGGTTTTGCCATTCATTGGATTGACAGTTGCATCATCTAACCCTTTTTATTGGGTTTTTATTTGTTGCTTATGCATTTCTTTAAATCTATGCAGTCCCGTCTGACCAGTCAGAACGAGGCCATGGCCCTTCAGTCCATAAGGAACATCAGAGGCAACTCCCACTGCGTGGACTGTGAAGCACAGAGTAAGTATGGCTGCTTGGGCTTCCCAATATTGACCTTTTCTCCTTCTTGGCCAAGACTTCTTCTTGGCTGAGACTTAGGTGAACGCCCACCACGGGCTTTGTCGTCTTTGATATCCCATTCCATGTGTTGTTTGAACGTTTCTTCTTTGTTATGGAGTTCGCTTAATCAGATTGATGTTAATTTATACTTAATATATGCTGTGTCAGATGCATCCTAATATTTTCTCCTGGTTGTTGCTCGTGCCATTTTAAATGTCAGCATTTCTTTACTTTCCTTTGAAGGAAAGGAAAAAGAAGTTTGCGGTTTGACATCAGTAACTTCCATTTTCCTCCTGTTTCGCATGGAGAGGGCACATTTGCCATGGTAATATTTTCAAAGACATAGAGCTCGATTGGTGGTTTTTTGGTTTGGTTTTTTTTTAGGGTTACTTGTCAGAAGAAACCAAAGTCATTGCTCATTATATCTGGATACTAGAAAACTGATTTGGGTTTTCTTTTTTTTTCCTCCTCTTTGTGTTTCTTTCCCTTTTTTTTTTTTTTATTTTTTAAAACATATACTTAGTGTTCAGAAAAGTGTTCTCGAGAATACTTTGAGCTGCGGTTCACCTCACTAACCCCGGCTGAGGTCATTATTCTGGTGCTCTTTAGTTCCAGGGGTTTGCAACAAAGCCACAAAAAAGGAAGTACTCTTGCTCTAAGCAATTAGTTGCAGAAGCAGAAGGATTGAGAACTTGTGCATTTTTATTTCTTTGATATTTGAAAGTCAGAACTTTTTCCTGTGATTTTTATAGGTGCTTAAACGGAAAAATATTCATTTATTTTTCTTTGGGCATAATTTTTTTTCGAGACTTGCTGTTGAGGATTTTGACTAGTGGTCTAAGCCATTCTAACATCCCAGTTAACTCTAAAAATGAACATTAATTTGGAAGTGCAAGTGCTTCTGCATGACTAACTTGCTATCTGGGTATTTAGCAATCTAGTTGACTCAGTCATCCACCAAACCAACCTATTATCCCTCGCATCATCATGAGAAGGCTTGAAGGGATGGGTGTCTATTTTTGTCAGTTAGGTTGACGGTTGGACAAGAAGATCTTTAAGGTCCCTTCCAACCTAGAAGATTCTGTGATTCTGTGATTAACAGCCATTTAAAATAAAAAAGGTTTTTTTCATACCATCAAAATGTGCTTCACATGCAGACTGGTTTTAATTGCTTCTTTTGAAAACTGGCAGACATTTGTATGCTGTCCATAGGAGATGGATCAAGGAACTGCCCCATCCCTGGTGGTTCACCACGCAGGAATGTGAGCCCTGGCTGGACCAGGCTTCGAGTACCAATATTGGGATGCTGTCAAAACAGCTTGTTGACCTGCTGGAGGAAGATCCCAAAGAGAAATTTCACAGGGGATTTTTCACAGTGTCCATAGGAGATGGATCAAGGAACTGCCCCATCCCTGGTGGTTCACCACGCAGGAATGTGAGCCCTGGCTGGACCAGGCTTCGAGTACCAATATTGGGATGCTGTCAAAACAGCTTGTTGACCTGCTGGAGGAAGATCCCAAAGAGAAATTTCACAGGGGCTTTTCACAGACAGAGAAATAATAGCAACGTGAATAAATGTAGGCCTTTACATTCCACTGGCCAGTAATCCAGCAGGTGATAAACAAGGAAAAACGTTGCTTTGGCTGGTATTTTAACATATACAGCCCAAAGTGACTCTTATTTATTACTGTTCTTTCATATTGACCTGGTAGTCATTCAGATGGACACCAAAGCTTTGATACAGTTCAGGGAAAAGGTATGTAAGATGCTGTGCTGTGTATGAGAAGAATGAGGTCTTCAAGTGACCTAGATGTATATTTAGCTCATTTGAAGTCCTCGCTGCCGGCTGTGAGCAGACCTTCATGGGAACCTGACTGATTTCTGCTCCGGTCTCTGTGTACAGCTGTGGGTGGCATTTTCTCCGACCCTGCTAAGTGGTCACCCAGGCAGAGTTAGGAAAGTTCAATCCCTTCACTGCAGACAACTTCCCACACCCACGTATCCGTGATCCGTTCCAGAGTCCACGCTATCCCCAAGATGGGTGTTTCTCTTGTTTCTCTCCCCACTCTTGCACATACCCCAGTATTTATGAAGCCAAGCTAGATGTTTAGTCAAGAAAATGATTGTGCAAGAAAGCAGCAGGTTGGGTTTTTGGTTTTTTCCCCCCCCGTCAGCCAGGTTGTTTTTCATCCAGATGGCTTCATGGGTCAAGCTGGCCACACGTGCACAGTGCCAGCAGAAGGCATGTGCCAAGAAGATGTCGCTGAGAGAGGGCAGGGTGGGACAGCCCTTTTTGGCAACGCTCAGCGCTTCCTTGTGGAGCTCTTTGGGGATAGGGGTGGTTGATTTTGGAATTTCAGCTGGAACATCTCTTAATAGTTTGCCTTCCCGTAGAGGATTTAAACCCTCTTTGACTCTTCTTGCCATTTGGCCTTCCTAATCTTAAGGCAACCATCTTTCCTTTTGAAAAATTTGAGGTAGTATTTCCAAAGCAATGTATCTTAAAATGTAAACATGCCCATGTGGTGGGCCTCAGCCTGCTGCTTTATCTGCCAGGCTTTGCTTTATGTCCTTCTGTCCCTTTCTGCCTCGCCTGGGCAAGTCCTTACCCCTGGAGCATTTAGCATCACAAACACCAGCTCTCTTGTGGAAAGCTTACGTAGTTTGCATCTTCACAAAGCCAGATGTTTAGGAGCAAAGGGATATGAGATGTTCCTGTCCCTCAGCTCTATTCAAGAGCCATCAATCTTCCACTTCAGAAGTCTCATTCTTCCTCTTTCTAGAGCTCTTTGCCTTTTTAGCACTTCACCACAGCACTTTGTTTCACCGGGGAATTACTGCCTCGTTGAATGTTAATCAGCAGCAGTAGTACCAGCAGCATCTGTGTCCCACCAGCCTTCTAGCCCATTGGCAGTCTCAGACTAAAGTTTTTAAGTCCTTTTTTTAACCTTCCCATCCCAGAGCAATAGATGAGGCAACTTGTTCTTTAGGTGCTGGAGTTTTTGCCCAAGAAGGTCCTGTTTCATGTTTCAGAAGGAAACTGATGTCGCCTTTTTCCAAAGCATTGGGAGTCCCAGTCCTCAATTCTGTCTGGAGAAGGCAATGAAGATGGTCAAATTGCTTAGGCAAACCTAGTTAAATTCCTGCCCCCAAAGGATTTTAGCTCTTCTAGTCTCACTGCTTAAAGAGCAGATGAGAGGAGAAATACGAGTCACTCTTTCAAGATATCTAGAGAGCATGGAATATCAGGTTCTTTTCTGTTGTAGAAGAAAACAGGATGGGCTTCAAGAGGGAGAGTCTCACCAAGAGTTTGTCAGTCCAGGAGTCTAATGACTTGCTGTGGTGTCATTTGTATTTGAGAGCCAAACACTGAAGTACTGGCCACTGGGTGGCCCTGGGAATCCTATGAGACTCATCACAAGATTCAATTTTATGTTCAGAATAGGAAAAAAACCCAAGACTTTTAAAGATGTCAAGGTTTCTCCCTTTTGCTGCGACTCTTTGCAAGGTGCCTTTGCTTCTCCTTCTTTCCCTGGCTCTTCTGCTCCTCCCTGCTCAGCCCAGCACATGCTAAACTCATGAGGATTTATCATGGCGAAGCCTTGTCACCAGCAACCTCACGTCCAAAAGGATGAAGGAGACAGGCTGCGACTCTTTGCAAGGTGCCTTTGCTTCTCCTTCTTTCCCTGGCTCTTCTGCTCCTCCCTGCTCAGCCCAACACATGCTAAACTCATCAGGATTTATCCTGGCAAAGCCTTGTCACCAGCAACCTCACGTTCAAAAGGATGAAGGAGACATTGAGGAGGACTTATTCCCCTAAAAGAGCTCTTCCAAGACATTTCACCTTCAAATCATCCATCTGATCGAGGTGCAAGTCAAGGTGGGGAGGAGGTTTTTAGAGAAGGAGAGAACAGAACACCTTTAAGAATATGGGCAGCTGAAAATCATAATCTGGGAATATTCAGTGATTTTTAAAAGGTCATATTTTGTTTGACAGATTGTGACTAAAACAAAGAAAGGAAACTAGCTTTACAGCTCCTATAGCTGCATTGACTGGGCTTTTTCCTTCTTTTACTATCAAATTTGGATGTATACATTATGGAGAAAAGCCTACCACATGCTTGTAAGTATTCTGAGCATCCTTCAATTCCAAATTACTCATAGCATCAGCAGGAAAAGTGAGCAGATTTTTGACCATCTAAAAAAAAGCAAGGAAAAAACCAGCTGGAATAGTTATGGCTTCCTAACCACGTGTGGTTCTTTTCAGTATAAATCAGTGGTAACAAATTTCAGGAATGAGATTTTAAAAAGGGCTCAACCACATATGAGAAGGGGAAGATGCAGATGGGAGCAGTGAATTGAAATCAGGGACATCTGTTGACACGTAGTTTACAACAGCTTGCCTTTACTGTTGGCGAGTAGCGACTTCTGCAATCCAGCATACCTCCTTTTAAGAACAATTTTTCACATGCACGCACTAAAACAGGTGTCATAAGTGACATCATGTCAGGTTTTTTTCCCAGAATCTATTGGACAATGGTGCTTGTCCAAGCTCCTTATTAGAGCCCTCTATTGCACCGTATTGTCCAGTTGTAACCAAGATCAACAGGTCCAGTTTTTCACTGGATGTCTATAATGAGTTCAACACTTTCCTCATTTTCCACCTTTAAACTTAGCCATGTGTTGTCAGGTTATTGGAATTTAAAATGCTTCCTTGAGAAAGTGTCACAGAACTTCTTGGTTATAGCTTTAATGGACTACTTCAGTGGCACCGACGCTGTCAAGTGGAAGTCAGAAAATACTTACAAAATTTATTCAGTAAAAGATACAGAATCACAGAATGATAAGGGGTTGGAAGGGACCTCTGGAGATCATCTAGTCCAACCCCCTGCCAAAGCAAGGCCACCCACAGCAGGTTGCACAGGAACGTGTCCAGGTGGGGTTTGGAATGTCTCCAGAGAAGGAGACTCCACCACCTCCCTGGGCAGCCTCTGCCAGGGCTCTGCCACCCTCACAGCAAAGAAGGTCCTTCTCATGTTGAGGTGGAACTTCTTCTATTCAAGTTTGTGCCCATTTCCTCTTGTCCTGTCCCTGGGCACCACTGAAAAAAGGCCGGCCTCATCCTCTTGACACACTAGATGTGCTCCAAGTATGCAGAAGCATTTGGTAGGGAGGTCAGGTTCTTAACATCAGTTCTCTTGGAATAATTGGAAGAATATTAATCAGTATTTTTACTCGTGCTTCTTTGAGGTCATTGCACTTTTTATTTTTGTGAAGATAACTGTGGCCTTCGCAGGTCAGGGACAGAGATTCCATTCCGAGACACATTTTGCAAATTTTAAATTATTATCTGCTGTGTTGAAGCTTTTACTGACAAGTCAGCACGTGGGGATTTTTAGCGTGTTTCAGATATACTACTGGTTCCCCCACTGGCAAGACACCGAAAGGAACTGGTGGAGGTGACTTGAAATGAAGAAATGAGTTTGTCATTATTATTTTCCCAAGGACTTGGAAAGCATGGAAGGAATTCTGTCTCACCTTATTTTTTGGAGATCTGAAATGCTGTATATTCCTGGTATAAGACTTGGTACGGACAGGAACTTTTTAAACACAAGAACTGTTTTTCTGCTCAAGTGAAATTAGATGAAAAGTGAAATGAAAATGAAATGAAAAAGCTCAAGTGAAATTTTGCTTTCACCTTATTTTTTGGAGATCTGAAATGCTGTGTATTCCTAGTATAAGACTTGGTATGGACAGAAACTTTTTAAACAAAAGAAATGTTTTTCTGCTCAAGTGAAATTAGATGGGAGATTTTGCTTGTTGGGGATATGTTTAGATTTCTAAGGACCAATGGAAAAATGTCAATCAATGCCTTCAATGAAATCTGGGACTTTGCAATTACTATTATCTGCTTTCCTTTCATATTTTTTATTTTGCTTTTTGGGGATATGTTTAGATTTCTAAGGACCAATGGAAAAATGTCAATCAATGCCTTCAATGAAATCTGGGACTTTGCAATTACTATTATCTGCTTTCCTTTCATATTTTTTGTTCAAACGTGACATGGCAAAGGACTAAGGAAATGTTTTGTTTCCACATATTTTAGCTGCCAAAAATAACTTTGATTTTGGGTTACGTGAAGCAGATACGAGTCTTTGGGTGACATTTCCCCAAATGGAAGGGGACACTGGAAATTCATTTTCTATCAACTCTGAATGTTGTTTAGATGCGAATAAAAATTGTCTTCCCTCTCCATTAATCACTATTTTCCTGCTTGGCTTTCGTGATAGCCTACTAGTTCTTTGGGAGGCCCAGGGTAAGGCAAGAAGAAAAGATCTGACAGTGGGGGGTAGAAAAAAAAGCCACCAAAAATTCCTCCCATATGTCTTCCGACGCATTTGTTAAAATGAATGTTTGTGGGAAAGAGGGAGATGCATAAAACTTTAGATTTGAATAACACAGGACAGTGACAAAACAGTGAGCATCTTGGGAAATGACTTTGAATTTCCCGGCTTTTGTCAGGTTTGTCACAGCCTTATCATTTGGAGGGTTATTTTTGTGTGTGTGTGTCAGTAGAATCCTTCTGGCTTATACACTGAAACTAGAACTGCTCAAAGTATCACATTTTCATCTTAGTCCTTATCTCCCTGATCTTAGAGATGAAAACATGCCCCGTAGCGTGTTAGATGTGAAAGCCATATGTAGGTGATGATATAGATGGTTATTAAGGGAGTTGATATAGTTAGCAACAGAGACATTGTATCTAGTTGCTATTTTTCTTTTTTTTTCTCCTTTTTCCCTTATCATTGGCTATGAGTGGCTCTAGGTTCCCAAGGAGGGGCTTTCTCCACTTCTTCCTAATCAGCTGCCTGCCATTGAGTTTGCTATTTTTCTTTTTTTTTCTCCTTTTTCCCTCGTCATTGGCTATGAGTGGCTCTAGGTTCCTAAGGAGGGGCTTTCTCCACTTCTTCCTCACCAGCTGCCTGCTACTGAGTTTATATTTTCTTTGTTTCTTCTTCTCTGTCTAATTCATATTTTTCTTTTGACTAAAGGTGGAATGATGGATCTTTTGAGACCCCCTTCCTCCACAATAATTTTATTTCACACCTTGAGGGTTTCTCTAGTATCTCCACAGGGCAAAACTGACCTTTCTGTAAAACCTTCTAACTGTGCTTTTGGGCAGGACACCCGCATTTTTATTTTTTTTCCCCTGGAGCCAAAATCTTTATCGACAAACGTTAACTAGGAAGTTTTGTTAGGTGTTTTTGTTGTACTAATTTGCTTGTGTCCCTTCTTCTGTAGACCCTGACTGGGCCAGCTTGAATCTGGGAGCCCTCATATGTATTGAATGCTCAGGTATCCACCGAAACCTCGGCACGCACCTCTCCCGGGTCCGCTCTCTCGACCTGGATGACTGGCCCATCGAGCTCATCAAGGTGATGTCTTCTATCGGGAACGAGCTGGCCAACAGCGTCTGGGAGGAGAGCAGCCAAGGCCATATGAAGCCTTCTTCAGACTCCACAAGGTAGGCTTTCCCAACTCCATCTTTGCTGGGGCACGTGGCGGGCAGGTAGCGTGTGATGCTCTACGTGGCCAAAGTTGTGAGCTATGAGCACATAAATCCTCATTTTGGCGTTGCAGTTGGAGGTGGTAGGGCGTGATGATGGACAACATGGACTTTTAAAATTCTCCCCTGTAGTAGACCTTGTAAAAATTATTGTGTGTATATATCTCTATATCTATGCCCAGGAAGATCATGTGATAAATATTGTGTGTATATATACCCCAGGAAGATCGTGTGATAAAGGGGGGATGCGGGTGTCAAAAGTTGAGTGACCTCGTTACTTTTTCACTCTCCGTGAAGGTTTCCTCAGCAGCTCTGCAATTATGGGGTTTTTTGGTTCACTCGACTGACCGACAAAACAGCGGGAGATTGAAACCTCCCGCCTGGTTGTTCCTCAATCTAAATTATAAAGTAAAGAGTCTCTTTGTTTCGCTGAGCCACAAAGTTCCTGGCTCTTGGACTGTCAGTTTGTGAGGAATAATCTGCCTTCAGTAGTTCGAGCTCACCCAGGAGCTGGGTACCTGGCCATCAGGTCTTTGGGTTCTCATCACATGTTGAAAGTCCTGCTTACCTGTGGGCTTGCTTTATTATTTTTTTTTTAATGTGATATATCTGGAGGTGTAAGTTGATGGGGAAGTGTGTGTTTCCTGAGAGAACAGTGTTTCTCCTACCACTCATAGCTCAGCACAGTGAAAATCTTTCTGCAATGTGTCACCCCACCAAAAGCTAAAGGTGGGGTGTTTCAGAACATCTTTCTCCCAAAGGAGAAATGAAAATACAAAATATAAGTGCTAATAGTTCTAACAAACATATTGCCTTGGGGGAAGCAAGATGACCACTGGCAGACTGTATTTCAGCAGGGGAAGGGTTCAGGCAAATTGGCTTGGGGGAAGCAAGATGACCACTGGCAGACTGTATTTTCAGCAAGGGGGGGAGGTTCAGGCGGGTGAAATACCTTCTGGACTACCTTGCACAGCTGGGCCAGTCTTTGAAGTCATCTTCAGAAGTGCATTATAATTGTCTTAGGATGAGCTCCGGGAGCTGGGGGGAACCTTCATCCCAGCACTGGTGGGTCCCCAGGTAGCAAACGGCAGGATGGAGGTTTATCTCTTGGTGTTTGCCTCCTGCAAAGGAGAGAAATCTGAGAGAATTATATTCTGATGATGTTTACGTGTGTTTCTGGATCCTGCTTTTTCCAGCACCGCATCAAGTAAAATTATAACCTGGGAGCATAGACCTGGGCCACCTCCTACGGTGTAGGAGTAGGTTTATCCTCTTTTGGCTGTAATAAAGTCAACTGTTTCTTATTGCATTATTTCGTTAGCACTGAAAAATGAATTTGTGGTGCCACCTTTGGTTCATCTTCGAGAATGAAGCCGGTGCATTAATCAGGTTACTTAGATGAACGACTACGCATATAAAAACATTCAGGGAGACCCACACAGAGATTTTGGCCATACATAAGCTGTATGTCTGCTCCACACGTGTGTATTATTAGACAGCTAATAGAATGATTTCATCAGATAGATTGAAATGAACTTACTGCTGCCTTTCAGTCGTTAGTGTTACTTTAATCCAGAGATTAAACACCTAACACCTAACAAATATATGTTGCTCCTTATCAGTCGTTAGTGTTACTTTAATCCAGAGATCTTATATTGTCGCACCTAACAAATATATGTTGCTCCTTTCTACTGAGGTGAGCTGGAGAGATACCTCAATTCTAAATACTTTTAAAAGGAAAAGGCATACACTCGATTGGGATATTTTTTAAAATATTATTTTCGTGTACACATATAATAAAGGCACTATAATGAAAAAATCTAAAATAGACATGGCTGATGAAAAGAGTGCCATGCATTTGGATTAAATTATTCAGCTTTTTATGTTTGGAAGTGAGTTTTACTTACAGAAAATCAACTTTCTTCTCTTTGTATTTCATGCTCAGAGCATATTTTAACTCTTCTTTGTTTCTATACGTCTTCATGTTTATATTCAGCTGTTTATGTTTGTCAGTGACATAATGGCACTTTTTTTCCTGGGCTCTAACATTTTTGAACAAAAGGTATAAAGATTTGTGTTATATATATATATATATATATATATGTGTTTCCTCTCTGTGTCCAAGTGCACATGATGGAAGAGCTGTTAGAAAAAACAGAATTAAGTTTATGTGAAAATTTTCCCACAAAGAAATTGTAATCTTGGTTTGCTACTCCCATGTTTTCCATTGTTTGCAGCGGGGACTGAAGTGATATTTTTCACATAAATATCTGAAAGGTCTCCTTTTTGAAAATGTGCTTTACTTTGGTCTCTACTAACATAGTCCTTCTGTCAAAGATGAGGCAAGAAATACTTCCAGGTTCTTTAGGTATAAGTTCTGCGTTACGTTTTCTCACTGCTGTTTGAAGTTTTGCATGAGGAATCCCATCAGAAGAAACTACAATGGGTCTGAAGTGGGATTAAGTAAGCTTTTAAGGGATAAAATAAGGGATTAAATTTTTTTGTTGTTGAGGAGCTGAAGGGGTAAGAGGCAACTGAAGCCAAGGGACTGGGGGAAGAGGCAAGAAAGTAAGCAAGTAAGAAAGATGACTGGGGAGCTGAGGTTTGGCGAGCTGGTGGAGGAGGGATGGAGGGAGTCCAAGGATATTTGGAGAGCAGGGAAGAAAGAATCATTCTGAAGGGGAAGAGAGGTGATAGCATGTTTTCTGGGGCTGTTCCTGCCCACGTTGGTGGGCTCTGGGATCAGCTGGAGTCTGAGAGCTGCGATATGCTCCTGCTTGCACGAGGTCTCTCCTCACCAAACCCCCATCAGATGCGAGAGAGAAGTACTCCAATGTTTTCCTCCAGGTTTTTCCTGAATTTTTTCATGTCCCTGTTCCCTTCTGCAGCTCCCCTTATGCCGTCTGTCCCAGGTAGTGCTGCCATTTTCTGTTCCACTAAATATACTCAATCCACCCTCCTTGGCTCCTGCAAGCAAAGCATTGAAAACACAAACCCAGAAGATTTCCCAGCCGTTCCTGGGGAGCTGAGGTTTGGCGAGCTGGTGGAGGAGGGATGGAGGGGGTCCAAGGATATTTGGAGAGCAGGGAAGAAATAATCATTCTGAAGGGGAAGAGAGGTTCTGGGGCTGGTCCTGCCCACGTTGGTGGGCTCTGGGATCAGCTGGAGTCTGAGAGCTGCGATATGCTCCTGCTTGCACGAGGTCTCTCCTCACCAAACCCCCATCAGATGCGAGAGAGAAGTACTCCAATGTTTTCCTCCAGGTTTTTCCTGAATTTTTTCATGTCCCTGTTCCCTTCTGCAGCTCCCCTTACGCCGTCTGTCCCAGGTAGTGCTGCCATTTTCTGTTCCACTAAATATACTCAATCCACCCTCCTTGGCTCCTGCAAGCAAAGCATTGAAAACACAAAACCAGGAGATGTCCCAACCGTTCCCTCATCAAAGGCTTAGCGTAAAGCATCAGTAAAAGGCCTTAGAGAAATACAGCTTTTTCACGTGTTTCTTTATGATAGGCATGTCTCTTAGCTCTTCTGTCTCTGCTGTGCCTCCCTGCAAAGCACCAGAAGTTGTCAGCACAATTATGGACCTTCTCTTAATAGGCATTTGTAGAGGGGATCGGACATACGTGGGTTTCACCATTTCCAGTTGTGTCTTTCTGTTGAAGATGAAGCCATCTGTGGAAAGTCACAGGTTTTATAGGGGGGGGGAAAAAAAGGATTATTGACTACTCCACAAATACTGAATCTTTTGGGCTGGGAGGTTTGAGGAGCTTTGACATGCTGGACTAAAAGGGACCTGGAAGTCTTGACATGGCTTCAAAAGCAGTCCTTCAGCTTGGGTGAAGTCTGCACTGATCACTGAATTACTGCAGTGGCATCCCACATGTTTCTGTTGAGTAGAAGGAAGGGTGGAGAGACCCAGGGAGACCAACATTCTGCAGGACGGATTGCCAAAAGGCCACGGCATAATTAAGGAGTCTTACTCAGGAAAATGTCACCAATATTTACAAGAATAGAGCTAAGGCAAACTTGTGAGTACAGCTTGCCTTTTTAATTTTATACATTTAAAAATAAGTTGAAGCTATACCAAACTTCAACCACAGAAAACGTAGCATCCTGCTGTCCTTTCCTACTCCACGCAGATTGTCTTAAAAACTCTTTCTCCAAGAAAGTCATGGGGAAAGATAAACCTGAAAACATATTCTGAAGGTCAGAAAAGCTCTTGGACTGGAGGACAGAAACTCAAAGCCCGAGAGTTTTGTAGCAAAAGGCATTACTCCTGTTGCTCTCATCAAGGATATATTGCCCAGGTACAGAATCACAGAATCACGTGGGGTTGGAAGGGACCTCTGGAGATCATCTAGTCCAACCCCCTGCCAAAGCAGGGCCACCCAGAGCAGGTCCCACAGGAACGTGTCCAGGTGGGGTATGGAATGTCTCCAGAGAAGGAGACTCCACCACCTCCCTGGGCAGCCTCTGCCAGGGCTCTGCCACCCTCAAAGGAAAGTTCCTCCACATGTTTAGGTGGAACATGAGGAGGAACTTCTTCTATTCAAGGTTTGTGCCTATTTCCTCTTGTCCTGTCCCTGGACACCACTGAAAAAAGACCAGCCCCATCCTCTTGACACCCTCCCTTTAAGTATTTATCAGCATTGATCAGATCCCCCCTCAGCCTTCTCTTCTCCAGACTAAAAAGACCCAAGTTCCTCAGCCTCTCCCCATAAGAGAGATGCTCCAGGCCCCTCATCATCTTTGTACCCTCTGCTGGACCCTCTCCAGCAGTTCCCTGTCCTTCTGGAACTGGGGAGCCCAGAACTGGACCCAGTGCTCCAGATGGGGCCTCCCCAGGGCAGAGCAGAGGGGCAGGATGACCTCTCTCGACCTGCTGCTCACACTCTTCCTGATGCCCCTCAGGATGCACCTTCTTGGCCACAAGGGCCCATCGCTGGCTCATGGGCA